CTAGAAAAGATCATCCTGAGTGAGGTATCCCAGAAGCAGAAAGACACACATGAAAAATGTTCACTAATAACTGGATATTCGACTCTGAAAGAGTAAAATGTAAACAATTTTAAAAAAGAAATGCTCAAAAATGCCACCATATTCTGAAATTCTTAAATTGAGCCTCTGCTTAGGTGTTCCTTTAATTGCTGCTATTTTTAACTGACTAGTAGGTACAGCTATTGTGGTTGGTGGTATTGGAGTAGGGAGAAGTAGCTTTCATTAGGGCTGTGTCCCCTGCGGGGTTAGATGTGCCATACACATAAGAGTACACAGGCAGCAGCAATGAGACGCACTGGATTTAAATTAAAAGAAGACACAAAGATGTTTGGTTCGGGGTGAAGGTATGTCTTGGAGGACATGAGAGGGGGAAAATAGGATTGAAATACAATATTTTAATTTCTCTTTTTTATTATTAGTTACATTTTATTAACTCTGTTTCCCAGCTGTATTCCACTCCCAGCTGTATTCCACTCCCTCGTTCCCTCCCAAGCCCACCCTCTCTCCCTCAACTCCTCCCTGCCCCTTTCCAAGTCCACTGATAAAGAATGAATTAAAATATAAGTTTTAATGACTTGTACAATTTTCCACACACACACCTCTCACTGTAATTGCTCATAATGAGTCTGCTTTACAGACACTATCATGAACTGACTTGTTTTCAAATGCTAAAAGCCTAACCCTCAATGTGACTATATATGATGGTACCCAATTGGAGGACATCAATGAAGTTAAATAGGGTTGTTAATCAAGGCTCTAATCTGAAAAGACTACTGCTCATGAGAAAGAGGAAGTTCCCTGAGACTGTGAACACAGCATCAGGCTCTGTGGGAATGTGTCTTATCTACCAGCTAAACCTCACCAGGGTCCAAACCTGCTAACTCTTTGATTTTCACTTGCAGCCTCTGAAACTATGAGGAACTATGATTTTCAAGCAATTATGAATAGAATTTTGCCATAGAAGCTTAGACCCACTAATACACAAAGAGAAAATTTAGCACATGAAATAGTAAATATACAGAGAAAATACATAAAACCTTAGCTCTGAATAAGTCACCGAAATGTGATATTATTACCTAAGATATATTGCTTTTAATATTCTAAATAAAATAAACTATGCCATCCAACATGAAATTTTAACTGATTATAAGATTCTTTAATAATGTTTATTAATAAAACAAAAACATCTTCATACACCCAATGGAAATAGCGACTCATTCAATAGGATGACAACATTTAATGAAGCCTTTGCTTGCTTTTAAAAGAGAACCTGACAGAATTTAGAAACAATTAAGAAACTAAATGTTAAACATAGAAGCGAGTGTTTGTTAAAACGTGCAGTCAAGGGCTGAAAAGATTGCTCAGTAGTTGATGGCATGTATGCTCTTACGGGGGTTCCAATTTGATTGTCGGCACTCACATCAGACAGATCACACTTGCCAATAATTCTAGTTGCAGGGGATCCAATGTCTCTGACTTCCTTGGGTACCTGTACAAATGTGTACATATTGACACTATGAATATTTATGTGCAGTAGCCCACTGTCTCTGTCATCTATGCTCTTCTTACTTGCTCTTCAGTGATGATGGCAACTAAGATAGAGACAAGTTGAAGAAAGATTTACTTGGTTCATGGGTTCAGAGGCTTCAGTCTATGGTGGACTAAATCTATTGCTTTGGTCCCAGGATAAGGAAGAATATCAGAGTAACAAGAATATATGGGTCCCATTTCTTCTTAGCAACAAAGAAGCCAAAACCATACAATGGAAAAAAGACAGAATCTTTAACAAATAGTGCTGATTTAACTATATATCTACATGTAGAAAAATGCAAAGAGATCCATAGTTATCAACCTGCACAATATACTTTAATAAAATGCTCGTAGAAGAGAAGGGAGATATGGGACCTCCAAGAGACAGGTTAAATAATGCTTTATTAACTTTAAAATGTTAATGGGAAAAAATAGCTGCTGAAAAACACTAAATTTTAGAAAGGACTCAAATTAAATCAGTCTATAGATGTGCTTAATTCACAGTGGAAGACAGGAAATATGTTGCATTGGTAAAGAGGTTTTTCTTTGTTTCAATAAGAAATGAAAATCAATGGATCCCTTCAAAATTGATAAAGATTAGGTTTGACTAGGGGAGACCTCCGGAAAAGATGTGCTGCAGAAAAAAGGGAAGAAACCAAGAACAATAACAAAACAGGTACTGTATATGCTAATATCTCTACTTGGAACAGCTCTGAGACTAGCAGAGATATGAAATTGTCTTTGTGTAGCCAATCTTGTCTCCAGAGTCCTCAGGACTTAACGTGCCATCCTTTCCTATGCCATGGATGGAGATTTCTGTTATAGCTTGGTTATACGGTCCAAAGGAATTTACAAAGTTTGATGCATTTTACTTGCTTTAAACAGAGAGCAGAGAATCATCTCTAGCTGATTCATGCACACAGCACATTCAACACATGTGCTAATGCAGAAATGTGTATTATATGTTTACAGACTAGAAGGACCAGACACCAAAGACGACAAGACAAGTAACCCAGATGACCCAACCTCACAACCTGCCTCAGTAGCTCTTTCCTCAAAATCTACATCCAGAATAACTTCAAAAGGCTAGCTAAGATCATCCAGCCTCACAGAGTATTCCAGCAAAAATTTCAGATATGCTCTGAACTTTCCCGTCACACAGAGAATGAACAAGAAATATTACAACTAGCTCTCTTATGCTTTCTCACCTTTGTTGCTTCCCCTGCAAATTTGTAATACATATCTGTAACATTTTCTGTGCCACAATGTCTTTAAAAATGTTGTATTTTGTTGGAAACATATGCCAGAGCATCATCAGCTTCAATCTGTAAAAGCATCTTTAATATAGCCATCAACTGTAGTAAATGTATAATCACAGAATCAGCCTTTTCAGAACTCTAAACAAAAAAACCATTGGTATCTTAAATAGGTATTAGTTGTTCGTGTTAGCCATTTTATCTGAAGGCCAGTTGACATCAATTCTCTCCAATGTTTTGGAATTATATGATTTTCCATGGTTTACTTAGTAAGTATCTGTTTTATATAAGTTAAATATATTCCAAAAGACTTGATTGCCTGTTCTTCAATCACCGTGGTAGATGGCCTTTCTAGGCTGCACAGAGAAAGAGGTTTCAGATAGTCCTGATGAGACCTGATAGGCTAGGGTCAGATAGTGTGTGTGGTGGAGGAACCTTCCTTATCAGTGGACTAGGGGAGAGATATAGTGCATCCAGATGACAAAGGTTGACAAGGGCAAAAGGTTAACAAGGTCTAAAAGTTACAAGAATATATGTCTTTTCAATTAGGACTGACCTGGCTACACATTTTCTCAGCTATTTCTTAATTTATAGTGAGTTTGGGACAATAATTTTATCTGTCTTTCATTCTAAGGAACAAAGTAAATTTAAAATGACAGCATATAACGCCACAAGGTGTCAATATGCAAAGAATCACGAAAGAACACTTTGTACATATATTGAAATTGAGGTTTGTACTTAATTAGACATTGCTTGGTATTCCCATTATAATTTGGATTCACAGGAAGTTCAAACCAACTTGTTTATGTTCATGCTATATACCAGGATTCGTGAGTGAAGGCTTATCTTGAAGACATAAATCTGTAACAAGCTTGAGGCATCTGGAGTTCTACAAATGTGTTTTTTTGCAGCCATAAACTTTCTAAAATTGTTTTAGAAGTACTAAAACAATTTAATTTTAAAATTGTTTAAATCAAATCAGGAATTCCATAATCAGGAATTACTTCATCTTAACAGCAGTACATCTCAGTAAGATCCTATAGGAAGTTTGTTCAGTCAGAGTGGGGAAATACCCAGAAAGTGACGGTTCACACCACGCCAGATTTTAGAGAGGTGTATCAGTGCACAAATGAGTGTCAGAGACTGGAAGCAGTTCTGGGGTGTGTCATGATACAGACCTTGCAAAGAACCAAATCTGGAAGAAGAAAGCTCACGTGCTCACTGAATTCTTTAACAGAATGACTCACCACAGTAGCACAGAGGAAAGGGGTGTGTCAGAGGAAGGAAGCAAATCCAGGGTGCAATTCAGTACACACCTTTCAAAATACTGAGGTGCTTTCCAGAAAGTTCACAGGCCTACGAAACTTCCCTTAATCAATGGCTCCTGATATTGTGTCAGAGGCTGGAAGCAATTCTGGAATGCACCATGGTACAGACCCTGCAAAATACCAGATCACCTTCCAAAAGGCCCACTTGCCTAACATTGCACCTTTTATTTCTTATAATTATTCGTTAAAATAAAATTAGATTACACCATATACTCTGAAATAATACAGAAAAATATATTGTACCTAGAAATGTAAATAATGTAGTTCTGATAATTAGAAAATTGTTTTAAACTAGTTGATAATGAAACTAATAATAGATATACAGTAACTCAAATACAGTAATCTCATGATTCTAAAGAACTGGCAAAAATATCTTCAAACTGAGCTCTGTGTTTAACAAACACCTTTATTACCACTGGTTTATAAGTACATTTGATAGTATACATTTTTCAAAAGTTTAGCCACATATTCTACATTACATTTATATGGTTTCAATCATATACTTTTATTATTGTTTGTTATGGATACTAAAGCATACAATCCAATAGCTCAGAATCTCAGTGGTTAATAATTGATATGATATTTATATAATTTTGATATATGTATGTTTTAGCAGATTATAATCACATCTTTTTAAAATATATATATTAAGAAATAACATTTACACAACTTGCTAAATTAGTAATAGTTCTAGTTAGTGCTTATTTCAAACAAACCATAAAATTCATACAGTCAAAGAATAATTAAAATATGAAAAAGGCATAATACAGAAGAAATTTTTATTAATTTTTGTCTAGAATATGCAACATGACATCTAGTGTTTTAGAGACATAAATTTTCCATATAATTAGTCCTGCATTTTCTCCACCACAGCACACAAAGAGGGACCTGTCTCCGCTTCACATCTGCCAAAATAAGGATACATGAATGGAATGAAGGAAAAGCTATATAAACAACCTGACAAAATAAAATGAAAAGATTTTGCTTCAGTAACTCATATTTCAAAAACTGTAGTGACATAGACAGGATAAAAATGGTGTATAATAGGAGGAAGGCAATCATGGTTTGCAAGGCTTTAAAGTGGGCTGTGGTGCCGGCATCTCTGCATGCTTGGACATGCTGCTGCATCTTCTTGCAGTGTGTCCACAGGGAGAAGATGAGCAGGAGGAAAATTGGCAGGGTCACAGCAAAAGGGACAGTCAGGAAAATCATATGAAGGATTAACACATGCCTGTGACAATTTGCATGGTAATAAGTACCGAAGCTGTAGGATGTGTTTCTTTCGTATTCATTTATACACACATTAATTTCCAAGTTGACAAGTAAAATATTTAAAAACAAAAGGACCAGAGAAACCAACAGTGTCACTGAAACTGCTTTTCTGACTCTCCACTTTAAATAAAGAAAAATAAAGTTAGAAAAGTTGGATATCTTGAGAAAATAAAAGATGCTTAGACATGTGGCAAGCCAGATGCTGAAATGGTTGCTTATAATCCATAGATTATTAAGAAATTTTATCATTCTTACAGTCTGTATTAAATCTGGATACCGTAAAGTGATGAATAAACCTGTCAACAGTGACCAGAGCAGAAAAATTCTGGAGGTTGACAAAGCAGTGAGGATTTGATTAACTAATGAGATATTTTTTCTTTTAACCCAGTCTATGAAGTTCACCAGTGCTAAGACTCCATTTCCTAAATTTCCAATTATTAATTCCAAGATAAAAATTATTACAAGTATTCTCTCGAAGATAACAAGTATTGTCTTCAAAATATGTTCCATTTTATATCAGTTTTGAAGATTTACTAATACACTGATTTGTAATGCTGTTTTTTAATGCTGTTTTGAAGATTTTTGAGAATTTCTCAGCTGACTCTCATAACACACTTACGCCTAACTCTCCCACACATAACAGAGGAACAAACATGGAGATTTGCCAGTGACAGAGTCTGAAGCTCATTCCGTGAAAATGTGTCTCCTCACATAAGTCAGGCAGGTCAGACCAGAACTGCTTTGCTCACATTCAGCTCCTGTAGTATTTTCTAGTCAATGATAAAAGAAAGGTTGGAAATGAAAACACATTATTTTCAATACCTAGATGTTTAAGCCAATCTAGGTATTTTGATATGACTATCTGAGATATGCACATGTCACTTTAAGAAATTCTCAAGTATATAAAAGCTGACAAAAATATACACCTATATGAGTCTTTCTCAGCTATAAGACTTTTTAGGCACTTCAAAACTGCCAGTCTGTGCCATGTGTGCCAGACGATGTTCATAAACTCTCACATTAAGATCTGTACAATAGTGTCATGAGGATCCATAATCTTTAAATATTAAGCAGTAAAAATTATATTTCTTTGTTTTCTCACGTGAATATATAGACTCACCTATAAGTACATATTTATTGAGATTCGAATTGTTTTTAATGCTGTGTCCACATTCGTCAGTATTTATTGTGCATCTAGGTCATGTTTAGTACTGTAAAAGTTGGTCAGGCCATGAATATGATACACTTTCCATTTCATCTGATGCATTACGTCTACTCTATCTATGCATGTAAGCTTGGAAACTCTTCTTAGGCTGTGAACAGTCAACGGAGACTCTTATCTCACGCCCACAGTAAAACACCTCCTCATTCCCAGCCTCTTCTTTGGCTGGTGGAGCTTACTCTTTCATTAGCAAAAAATGCAATCAGACTTTATCAACCTCCCCTCAACTGTCTCCCCTCAATTTTGTAAATACCATGGACTGTCACCAGAAAAGAAAAAAGATGCCAGGGAGAGACATTCTGGGGAAAATGAAGAATGAGCATTGTGCTACAGTCATGATTCAGTAGTTAAGGAGCAATACAGGACATAAAGGCATTCAGAAATGATTGCCAACTACCATGTAGCTGGCAAAGAAAAGCATTCAGAGATTTAATGTCTAGGACTGATGGTACTTTCATTCCCTGAAACAATACTGAGAAGAAAAAAAAAAGTTAACCTGATTAAATTGAAGACTCATTATTATCCATCATTTGGTGACAAGATTCATGAAGTAGGCATAACAGCCCAGTGTAGAGTTTAACAGGGAAAGGATCTAAGAATGGAAAAATACACATACCTTCAGTTTAGAGGCAGGGAGTTCCCTGTGGCTTGGCTCCTTCCAAGTAGCAAAATGAGTATAAAGATAAACAAATAGAAACAGGCCACAAGGTGGAGTTCTGTGGAATGAGTGATGACAGTGAGACTTTCTTCTGTCTGTTTCTTTCCTTTCTCTCTCTCTTTCTTTCTTTCTTCTTTCCTTTTTATGGAAGCACTAACTCCTTTTTATTGTATTACAGTTTATTCACTTTGTATCCCAGCTGTACCCCCCCATTCCCTCCCAATCCTACCCTCACTCCCTCTTCTCCTGTGCCTCTGCCCCAGAACAATGATAGGGAAGGTCCTCTTCCCTTTCCATATGACCATAGTCTATCAGGTCTTATCAGGACTGGCTTCTTTGTCTTCCTCTGTGTCCTGGCAGGGCTGCTCCCCTCTCAGGTGGAGGTGATCCATGAGCCAGCCCATGAGTTCATGTCAGAGATCTGCCCTGGTCCTATTATTGGGAAACCCTCCTGGATATTGAGCTGCTTTTGTGCAGGGGTTGTAGGTTTTCTCCATGCATGGTCCTTGTTTTGAGTATCTGTCTCAGAAAAGACCCCTGTGCCCAGACTTTCATAGGCTTTCAGGAAAGTCAGGACATGATTTCACAGCAAGGATTACACTCACCTTTAAGAAGCTCTTCTGAACAACTTTCCTTCTGAAATGGAATCTTCATAGTTTCTACCTGCCAACCAACTCCTACAGAGAGAGTTTGTAGATAAGGTGAGAATGGAATGCAGCATTGTTCTCACATTTTATCTGCAAAAGAAAAGCAACAGCTAGCCAGAATTTTGCAAAACTGTGCATTGGAAAGGACAGATTTTATTTTTTGTCAACCATCTAGCAGCAAAGCAGAGCTTTCTTTAAAACTAAGTGCTTCAGGAAAGAGATGTGCCCTTACCCATTACAAAGTCACTGATACATGCCTGTTTTATCTAGAATTAATGAATTTTATTTTAATTTTCATTTGTGACTGGTTGATACACTGAGTATGTGAAATTCAAGTATTCACAAAAAGGTTTAATCAACCAGATTTTTCTTTATTGCTCTATGCCAAAGTAAGTACACCGGTAGTGATAATTTCAGGTATATATTTATTTTATGATATTAAAAAACTCTCTGAGAGAGAGATGCTGGGAAGAGGCTTAGGCCACCTGAGCCACCTGGGAAGGATGCCTTCCAGCTGGTTGAGCTGCCTGAAGGTTATGCAATACACAGTTATTGAGGTGAGCTTCTGGTGATGAGGCTCTCCCTGAGTAAGTAAACTCTCATCCATATTCTCAGTAGCAATCTCAATGAATCTCATTGATTCACCAAGTTGAAATTTGATACTTTGTCACTAAAATTTTACTAGCTGACGTGATGAATGCAAAACTTACACATAGATTTGCAAAATGCAGCAGCACAACGCAAGACAGTGTGCTTCATTTGCATGCTAGTAAATGAGACTTTATCTTTCACTGAGGTAGCAACCTTGAGACATGAAGAGAGCAAAACATGAAATTCATGAATAGGTGTTTATTTGGTCTCTTCTAAAAATAATAAACCACCATTGAAATCATGCTTTCTCATAGGGTTGTCTTTTTCTGTTTGTTGTTAGACAAAGAATTAAGGAAAATAAGTTGAACAAGTGTCTAATAACCAAATGATACTATATTATTAGGTTAGATTGAAGATCTTAATTTCACCAGCATGACTGGCAACACCTTTCCAAGGAAGAATCTGCATACATTCCATTTCTTTGTTCCTTAGCTTCTATTTCACAGACAACAGGGAAATAACCCCATATGCAATGGCAAAAAAAAAAGGCCTGAAAATTAACATCTGTGGTTTTCTCTCTCAATGAGTATAGTAGAGGATCTCCAATTAGTGTTGCACCACGGTTTCCATGTGTTTTTGTAAGCCATGTCCTTGAGTATGAGCTTGACTTAATTCACTTCCAATAAAGAGAATAGAGCCAATGTATAAAGATTTCACTTTAGACTGTGCTTGTTTGGAGGGTTTTCTTTAAGCTGAAAGTCTCACACTCATCAAATTTATATAAATCAACTTTCTTTAGATATTGTCATATTTCTACTCTTACCCTTTGAAGAGAATGGGATATGTGACAAGACATAGTGTCTCTGACCAACACACATTGAAGATCTGAAGCCTGCCAACACCCAAGTGAGTTTGACAGTGGGTTAACCTCTACATTGTACTCTCAGTAATCCCAGGGAAATTGTACCTTAAAAAAATAAAAGGAGAGGTAGACATATTTAGCTAAGCTGTGCCTCAATCTTGTTACTTAAAGCTACCAAGTTGGGGAAATGGTTTGTTTTAAAGTCTTATATAGTAAATACATCATAAGAGAGACCTCATAATGTACATTTATCAGTAAACCTCAAATAATTGATACAAAAATAATACACACAAAACCAATAGTTTTTACTGTAGAAACTTTATGTAAGTAATTTGGTTATGGCCTTAGCAATCTCTACAAGATGATTTAATGCATATCTATATGAATGCCATGATTACGAAAATATATGTGTATGTGTGTGTGTGTGTGTGTATAAAGTAAACTAATTTTCTATCATGATCTAGACCTCAAAGGCGAGAGGGAAACCTTGTATATGCTTCTTGCTGCAGGTGTGAGTGGCAATGTTGTCCTGAAGAACAGGGAAAAGAAAGCTGGACAGCCGACTTAAGAGAAAGCCACCTCAGTAATTCTTACAACCTCAGGCCAGGCAGGGGAACATATCTCCATTTAGCTTTCTAACATCAGAGAGATCAATTCCTAGCACTTGAAATTGTCTGACTTGATTTACTTATTCAGCTCCCTGAAGTTTTTTTTATATTATTATTATTACCTTTTAGTTAAAATTAAAAACAGAAACACAACTGGGCGCTGGTGGCACACGCCTTTAATCCTAGAACTTGGGAGGCAGAAGCAGGTGGATCTCTAAGTACAAGGCCAGCCTGGTCTACAGAGCAAGTTCTGTAACTGCTAAATGACACAGAAAAACCATGTCTGGATAAAACAAAAGAAAAAGAAATTGCAAACCTCCATATAACAAACAAATTTATTCTTCTTATGTTAGGCATCTCCTTTGTTTGCAAATCAATACAAATTTTAGTGGCATTTCAGTAATAACCAGAATCACAGGTATCTTTTGCTATTCCTGTGAGTTAGATTTTTTGTCCTCTCAGTGCTGCAAGAGCTGGAAAAGCAAAAAATTCTTGAACCAGCCCTAATTTATCTATATTTCTCTCCAAGATTGTGACTTAGAGCTCTAGAAACAGAAGTAACAAGAAATGACGTTCCCTAACCTAGCCATAGATTCTACCCATTTTATGTTCTATGACATGGAGACAACATTACAACAAATTGAACTTAATCTGTTCTTATTTGCAAATTATTCTTAATAGACTCCTCATCGTGTCTAATGAAAGGTGTATTCTGATGCTCTGGAAATTGGTATTAGCTTGTTAGACAGAATACAGTTAAGGAAAACAACAGTTCACAAATAAAAAATGAAAATCTAAAGACAACAACAAAATTGATCATTTCAAATAACTTTTTTTTTTCAAAAGTAAAAGCTGAGGGACTTGTTCTTTTAAAATCATATTTACTAAAACTGGCTAGTTGGGGATATCACATTCTCTCTCT